TTTGACCTTGAAGTAAAGGTCAAAGGTCAAATCCAAGGGTATATTTGAAATCTACACATATGACTTTTGGAAAGCCGTCTATAGAAATTTTTCCCATAACTCCTTCCGTAGGGTAGATAATTAGCATTTAATTTTGCCATTTTTAGACAAGGGTGCATTGTAATGAGTGCCACACCCAGACCCCAATACCGACAAAGCCCAAATTTTACGTGGAACGAGTTGAGATTATAGGTGACCTAAATCCATGAGATGGGTACGGGGGCCCTTACCGTCTAGGAGGAGAAGCGGTAACGGTAGCCGTCCGGCGGAGCCGGCGGAACGATCCGGACGGGACCGAAACCATGTGTACCGCCAGCGCTAACGCTGGTGGTACAATTATAACTAGCCATATCTGGAATAAACTGGAGTACCTTAATTCAAGCAAGTAGTAGGGAAAGGGTTTTGATTATTTGGGAACAGGACAAGAAAGTTCATGTCACACATCAGCTGCACCATCATAAACAAGCAGAAGTTTTGTCAGTAAAATCTAATAAAGGACTGTGTAGCTGTAGATTACTTATCATACATCAACATAATTTTTCAGTAAGTCTAACCAATTCACCATCTAGTAGAACAAGAACTCTGATATAATAATTGATCACTTACTTTTTTTCTTAGACAAACAGTGCATTTTCCATCAGATTAATATTAATCAACTATGAAAAATTTCTCTCTTTTTAAAGTAAAGTATCCTTTGGCATACAACATTCTTTGCTGAGGGTAAGCTAAAATTTGAGCTACGTGTTCTTACCGAGTTCCACATCCTCGTCTGTGTTGATGTCACTGTTGGGCACTTGACTGAGAAGTCTGTTGAACTGGTCTTGGTCCAGCACTGGGACTTGGGACTCATTCTGCTCAACCGCTTCAACTATCCTCTGCAGGTCTAGATAACTTCTGGGGATCTTATAGCATAGATAAAAAGTTAAAGGCTTTTACAAGATTGATCTCAATTTTCCACAACCTCAAACAAGTTAGAAGATCAAATAATACTACATGTTGGTGTAGGGTATCAAATTATTGCATGCCATACCTAGTGCTTGAGAAAATGACAAGTTTCTTTTTATTCATCATTTTCTCAAGCACTAGGTATGGTATGCAATGATTTGATGTCACACACACACACACACACACACACACACACACACAGCATCAGCAGGTAGTGTTATTTGCTTATGTGCTTACGACGGGCATATGTATATTTATATATAATTGTTAGTGCTTAAATTATTCATTCTTCACAGGATTTAAAACTAAACATATACAGAAACAAACAAATGTTTAGATTTAGCAATCATCAACATCATCAGACCAATTATTCCAAGATTTTTTAAGTAGGTAACCTTATATTCACCATTTTCCCAATCCATCTCTCAGATCTGCAGTGTACATCCCCCATTGTGACTGCTGTCATGTAAATCTTCTCCCTTAGTTCTCTAATTCCTTCCTGATCCTTTGAGGTACTGGACACAGCTTGGACGTGGGCTATCTTGGGGTAACCATGGCTTCCATACAGTTGTTGAATGCGGTCTGTAAGCTCTACAATCTTGTCAGCCCTTTTCCCCTTGTCTAGCTGATCCAGGTGGGTGCCCACTATGATCACAGTAGAACCTGGGGCTCTGGACTAAATCAATAGTTCTAATATTTTATCATTATATTTTTTTGCTTAACTCAAGATTGGTAGTTCATAGAATTTTAAGTATTCAAAGAAAAACCAACCTAATCTGTTACTTGTAATTAAAATACTGAAGAATTAATAAACCTATCCAAATCTCCATATTTAAAAGCCAGAGAATTACATTGGTAGTTATATCACAAACTTCATCTAATAGTTATACTATAAAATCTGCATAAACTAGTAAATTATGGCCTTATAGATACTTTTTATCCCGCTTTATATCTTAGTACTCCATCTGTAGCAATATGATTTACAGGTTCCACCATGTGCTGGTAATTAAGCTTAGAAACCTGTACTTCCTGCCAAAATTAACGGTTAGTGTCAAAGTCTCAGTTAAGTGTTTCCCACCTTGCTACAGACGTGTTACATTATTTTTATTTAAAGAAAACCCCTAAAATAATGTCTTAATAAGAGATGTTAAATGCATGTAACTAAAATGTATGCAATACTATAATATCATGTAATACTACCTCTATATTGAGAAGCCACTGCCTAATGTTGTCAACACCTTGTTCATGTAGCACTAGTTTCCACACAACAAGGTATAGAGCATTGGGTGTGACAAAACATTGGTGAGTGGTGTAGAAATCCTCTTGACCAGCACAGTCCCACACTGCTATCTCAACATTGGGCAGATTCTGCAGAATGCATTTAGCAATTAATATGTTTTATGTCAAATTTTTCAAGCATTTGTTTGCTTATGAACAGTTTGAACAGAAAAGGTAATTTTGCACAAAGATCTCAACTTCACCAATTTTGGTTTCTTTATTTCTACCAGCTTTGTCAACTAAACAGCCATGGGTCTCTTTGTGTATGAGGTAAGGACAAACCCCTGTTCATGGCAAACTGAAATTCAATCTGCTACTAATAATATTAACCAAATGGTGTTGCATTAATGTCAAACAGTTTTATGATCTGAACTTTTCCCAACCTTCTTATCTTTGAACAGTTTCTTGAACTGCGATCCTCTCAGATTCCACATTTCATTGTCAAGATGAATGCCGTTTGTGGCCACTGGCTTTGGCAGTGGCTTTCCTTGAAGAGCAGCTATCAGACAACTTTTTCCTCTCTCCTACAAGACCATTATAAATAATGTTTATCCTAATAAGTTAATGCAGGGAATCTAAAGCAAAGAAACGTATAATTCAGCAGGTGGATATCTTTTACCAAAATGTCGAACGAAACGATATGGAAACACTTACTTATCATATTGCCTAGACATATACCAATGAACCATGTTCATAAACTTTTAGCTTTTAAATGAACAGCGGAAAATACATTTTATTCTCGGTTTTTTCCTTTCATATTTATTTTAAAGGTATATTTATTAACTAATCCCATATTTCATCTTTATATTCTGTATATACATTCAATATGTTTTAAATTTTGCAAAGAGCACAATAAACCCTCATTATGATATCTTTATTAATGTTATCTTAAAACTTGGTAGTTTGTAACTCTACCTCTCTTCCTACAACCATCATCTTGATCCTCCTGTTTGGCTCTGATTTTCTCAGCTTCAAGCGACAGTGATGGAGAAGGTCTCTGCAGCGGTAGGAATGAGAATCATCTGCAAACAGAAGAAAAGTTTGTCTATATTCATTTATCAAAAAAAAAAAAAAAGAAGTAAGTTTCAGCCTAACCTTGTGGCCAAAGGTGAGGAGGAAGGTTCTGCAGTAGAGACTTCTCTACCTTGACTTTGGACAATTAATACCCTTTATAATTCCTGAGATTCAGGTGTAAGGAAATGTCAATTTTTTCATTTTCATATTTCCATATATGCATGCTTATTAGTTTAGTAGGCAAAAATAAATATGTAGAAGCTGCATGGTCCATATCAGGTCTGAAACTCTTTAAAAGACAAATGGAAATTTTAGAATGGTCACATATATTTAACAATTGCCTCTATCAAGCAAAATGTTGTTTTACTCAACTAGTCAAAAATAATAAGTTGTTAGCATTTGACTGAAATTATGTTGGTTACAGCCTAACCTTGTGTACCTTGAGGCCAAAGATGAGGTGGAAGGTTCTGTAGTTGAGACTTCTCTACCTTGAAATGCCACAATCCAAGCAAATTGCCAAGCTCCAATGGAAGCTCTTTGATGGGATTTCTGAAAAAAAAAATTAATCAAAAAATGCAACATCTTCCATGTGACAATGTCAGACAAGGCACTTAAAAATTATTGGTGCATTATTTCTGTTTTAGCCAAGGAACTACAAAAATGTGAAATGGCTTATTTGTAAATTCTTTCAATAAACAATTAAAAACTTTCAAAAATGCAAACAAGCTCCTGATAATCTGGTACCTTGTCTTGTGCAATCTTTTTTATGTTGTTTTGGTTTGACCAATTTGCACCCTATTTAATCAGATATCATCCAAATAAATAATGTACTGCCTTCTACATGTCCTCTGAATTCCGATGATTATTAAAGGGATAACAACTCTTCATATGAGATCCATATTTCACAATAAATACATTGTAAACAACTCATAGAAATATAATATATTCTTTTTTACCACAAAAATGGCAGTTGTAGCAATAAATCTGAAATATGTGCTCACCATCGGACCACATGTCCTCCATAGATGGCTATACTCTATAATAATCTCGAGAGATTATTACAAAAAAAAAAAAAAAAAAACTTTTTTACAAAAAACCCAGGGACTAACTTTGAATGTAGAAATGGATTCATTAACCATTGGTAAGTATGGGAAAATTGCTGTTTACCCCAGGAAAATTCATTTCAATGACTGCAACTGGTGTCTCTCAATGTAACCTTGCAATTCACCATAATTACCCTCTAATATTCAGCCTCTCTAAGCGTTCCAGTCTACACACACTACTGGGTACAGTTGGCAGGTGGTTGTGGCTCAGATCCAGGTAACATAAAGTCTCCCTTAAGCCTGGTGGAAACTCCATGAAATAATCATTAGATGCTGGAGCATTGGTCCCCGTTCTGTGCCTGTGATATAACTCCTTAAAGCGTTCAAAAACCTTCCCTGGAGACCTGGAAAATACAGGTAGTCACATTTACTCCTCTTTCAGTGATTTTGTTAATTGATCATATATATACCCCTATTGATTAAGGTAAGTGAATAACCAAAATATGTTGTACAATCATGTTACCTATGCATAACATACATGTATAAAAATAATGATTCAATATTGGCAAATTAGCGAGATTAAAAAATAAACAAAAATACATCGTAAGCAAATAACTGTAAGGCAGTCCAATTCTACATTGTATAAAATTAAACAAAAATGTTTTAAACATATAACTGAGCACATAATACCTGGACTCTGTGGGACTAGCAGCTGTTTGATACCCAAAATTGTTGTGAGAGAGGTTTAAATTTTTCAGACTCCCTAGAGTCCAAAGATCTGGCTTTGGCAAATATTCCAACTTGTTGAATGACAAATCCAGTTCTTCCAATGATTCTTTGAAATAAAAGTTACAAAACTTTTTATACAAATTCAGAAGATAGAAAGTGCACAGAACAACAATAAAGGTATATAACTGTTACTTTCAAAATGAAAATATTTGGAAGCAATACATGTTTACTGCAGTTCAGTTCAGATTACCAAATAGCAATTTTATACATGGACTGGACAAGATAATCTACTTACTTAACTTAAATATCCCCTCAGTTCATTGGGCCTCATGTTCATTGTTGTTCAATTTTAGCACCTTAAGAGTATCATCCCAGAATTTGTTAAAGTTGGGAGGCAGCAAAAATAAACAGTTGTTACCAACTAAGATAATCTTTCAGTTAATATTTCTACTTACTCAACTTAAATATGCCTTCAGTGAGGGCTTCAAGTTCATTGTTGTTCAATTTTAGCACCTTCAAAGTATCATCCCAGAATACATTAAAGTTGGGTGGCAACAAAACCAAATTATTGTGGGAAAGGTCAAGATAGTCCTGGAAGCCAAAATAATTATTGCATATGTAAAAATAATAGAGTAAACACAATAAACTTCACAATCACTGTCTCACCATGATTAATAATTACAGTCAATATTATATCAAATATCAATAATCATAATTACCAATCTACATCCCCAAGGCTTGGGAAATCGGAGTAAGGAATTGTGTGCCACATTAAGTTTTTGAAGGCCATCAATATCTTGAATGGCAGCTGGAATTTCCTCCAGAAGGTTATGAGACAGATCAAGCAGCTTCAGAGATGGGCAGTTCATCTTTCCAATGCTAGATCCTGAAAAATATTTATGCCTTAGAAATTTTCATCAAATGTTTAACAATCTGATTATGTTGTTGCCTCTTTCAGATAAAGGAAATTACAAATCATTATGTAATTAGCATACAATATATTATATATGAGGTCTGACAAATCTGAGGTCTGATAAAAACTCAATATTGACCAATGATGTCATCACCAATGTTTGACTAACAGACAACAATGCTAGATGACAGCATTGTTACAACTTTTAATGTTATCTTGTTGACACTAAGATTAAGGTATTGATTATATAACTGGTCAAACAGCTTTTTTGAGATTTTCAAAACAACATATTACATGTACTGTCAGTGAAAATCAAAAAATGTACAATATATAATACTGACTAAAATACCCCAAAACAGCACAAATGTTTGGCAGCTTATAAGCAAATTAAATAACTTCCAAATGACACATTAAAAACAAAATGTATCTTTCAAAATAAAAATAATTAATAATAATATGTAAAATTCCCAGGTGCTCCAATAGTGCAAGCTTCTACATGTATTAGTACCAAAATAACTACACAAGGTTTGATTGATTTTGATTGAATTGAAATGGTAAAGTGATGTCTACAAGAGACAGAAGGACAAAACTCTGTCTTAAGAGACTCAGATATATTGATTGTCAATCTGATATCTGTAGATCCTATCCATTATAAATATAATTTTTAAAATTGTACCCTTACCCTGTCTAGTGGCTTCTGGGTGTCCATCTTCTATGACTAAAGAGTTGTATGGACTTGCAGCACATCCTATATACAGACATTGTAATCTGTTGTGACTGAGATGTAATTTCTGTAGAGAGGACACCTGGTATAGCTGGATAGGGACTCCAGACAAAAGGTTGTTTGCTAAGTTTATCACTTGGAGTCTGAAATGGCAATTATAGTTACATATTGTACAGTACTAGGACACATGTATACTTAGAATACACTAGGGCACATACACACTGGTAAATATGGGGAAGTGTATTTTATGATGAAAAGAAGGCCAAAGGTCATATTCAAGGTCACAATAAGATGCTCAATATATAATTTTCTATTCAAGTTCAAAGTAACTATGGACGTATCTTTGCTACAAAACTGTAGTTCTGGAGCACTTCAGTATACATCTTGAGCCGTATGTAAAAAAACACACACCAACTCTAGTATTGGGCTTGACAAGCTCAACAAAATGCAACAAACAAGAGGTCTCTAGATTTTCAGCTTCCAGAACAAGAGAAAGCTTTAATTTTCAGCATCTATAACAGTGGCTTCTCCTGTGAAAATGTATGGATTGATCTAAAACTCATGAAGATGAAAGGAGAACCCAATTGTAACTCCTCACCATATATTAAATCAAAGATCTGAGTTGTTTCTGAAAATCGGCACAAATAAATATTTGATCACAGAAAATTTAATTTTAATTTTTGACAATATTTTGACCCATTTAAACTTCAAATAAAGATTAAAGGCCAAATCCAAGGGCATATTCCAAATTTCCACGACTTTTGGTACACTTTTATAGTGACTTTTCCCATATTCCTTCTACTAGAGGGTATTTAGCATTTAAATTTAAATTCAAAATTGACAAGGGTGGATTCCTCAACATCATACCTAGAAGAATACACCAACAGAACCATGAATCTAGGGGGATCAAGTTGATGTTATATGTAACCTAAGTCTAAGATATGGGTACCAGGCCCTTGTAATCTAGGAGGAAAAGTGGAAATTATCACTTGTCTCCACCAACATGGCACAGAGCCAGCAGAGGAGACGGATTGGGACTAAAAGCATGTGTACTAGCTGCCACAGCCTCATTGGTGGTACAAAAATAAATTTGAAAGCTGTGTCCAAACACTATATTTTTATCTTTTCCATCTGTAGCCTATGCATGTCGAGTAACAACAGTACAAGATATTATGCCCAACTTTCGTAATGAGTTTAAAAAGTGTGCAGCAGCATGAGCCACATGGCAAAGGTACTGTTCCTGTGCACTCAATTAGTTTTTGGGGAACATAAGAACCAGCAGAAGTGAATGAAGAGATGGCATCGCAATAAATAAATGTTTGACTTTAATTTTTTTAATCACCATTCAATTACTTTAGTTCTATAAATGCATGTTATTTGACATGGGTGGGTGGGTAGGGGGTAATCAAAATATCTTACTTGGAACACAGATACTCTGTGGGTGTGTCAAAAGATCTCAAATCATTGTTGGAGATATTGAGAGAATGCAGATTAGGCATACTCCAGGGCAAACAGCTTGGCAATTGTTTCAGGCCATTGTGACTCAGGTCAAGGGTTATCACAGTGTGTAAAAACGGCTGGATCCATGGCAGAGGCAAAGTCTGCAGACCTTTCCTCATCCACCTGATGTTGTGTTCCTAAAATAATTAGTATCCCTAATTAGTTAGGACACCATTATACACTTGCATACAAGAGCAAAACTAATAATCATATTATGTATAGGTACACATTATTTTTCTTAATCTACCAATGTATGTACTAGTTGTCACTGATAACACACACGGAGATGCATGCACACAAATAAATGGCTATGTGGTTTAACTGTATTCAATTGCACCACATAATTGTAAATTAATGTATGTACAATACAAATGGAAATTTATAAAAACAAATTAATAGACAAATATAAAATTGCTCACATACATGTAGCAAGGACTTGCACTAACATAAATTACTTCAAGTTATTTACAAACATAAATAGCATCATCCCTTTCTTGGATATATTTAAATAAAAAATCATTGTTACCACTTGATCATCACTCTCATTCCCTTCATTTTCCTGATTTTGTACTTTATTTTCTTGCACATAACGTGGCATGTACAGCAAATCTTTAATGAAATGTTCAAACTTGGCTGCTATAAATGGTGTAACTTCTGCATCATGGTACATTAGGTAGTCAGCAACATCTGGATGGCCAGCTAAGAAAATACATAACTTTTCATCATTAACTATAAAATCGATCTTGGCCGTGTGGAACAATCATCTTTAAATGCAATGGATACTGCCAGACTTTCAATAAATAAATAAATAAATAAATAATAATAATAATAATAATAATAATAATAATAATAATAATAATAGCAATGGTTTTAATAATTAAAGGATCCAAAATTTACAATTGTATAGTACACATATGATGAGGTATAGAAAACGTAAAAAAAAACTTTCAGAAACCCTTCTTTGGCTTCTTTAAATGTATGCCTTGCTTTATTCTCTCTCACATCCACAAAGCAAGACTGGGTTTCCATACCTAGATTGATCTAACAAGATTGATCCATCTCCCAGGGGTTTCTCGCTAAATTGCTTTCAGCTTAAGCGGTTTAGATGTCTGGTATGCCTACTGAAGCTGATAAATGATAATTAATAACACGAGCAGCTTCAGCAGGCATAATAGACTTCTAAGCCACTTAAGTTGATTGCAATTTAGCGAGAATCCCCTCGGAGATAGATCAACCCACAGTTGGTACGATGGGGTCTGGGAATGGTCCCCAAGGCTACGCAATCCTTTACTTTATCATAAAACCTTTTGTCAGGTTTTTCTGACTATTTGCGTCCTTAATACAATGAATAATAAAATGGTATTTAGGGCTCATCCCCACTGAAACTACTCTACTACATAGATAAATCCAACTCTGTGGGGACTCTTGCTGAATGCAATCAATTTAAACAGATTAACACATCTCTTGTTTCCGACGTACTCATATAGTCGCCAACTTACTAGTATCTGTATTCTACTCAACACCAGGAGGCCTGTTATTGTTAATCTGTTAAACTTATTGCATTCAGCAAGAGTCCCCAAGGAGTTGGATCAATCTACATAGTCCAATATTCTCAATATGAATGAGGCCTTAAATGCAATGACCATATGACACTTCCAAAACATAAAACGTATCAGTACCTAAACAAGCAGCATAAAGAGGAGTTCTTTCATGACTGGGGCACTCTTCATCGTCAGATTCAGATACAATTTGTAGAGGTTGCTTCAGGTCTATCTTCTGCTGCTTTGCTAAATCTACCCATTTTTTCACAGCAGGAAGGTGACCTCCTTTACAGGCCACATACAGCATACAACTGCACCAGTCCATGTTGCTGCCCAATTCTGGAAAAAATATAAACAAGTTAATGAACCAATCAAACAATAACCCCATTGATTAATAGGGATAAAAACTAGACATTAAAGACGGCACACAGGCATTAAACAAAGAAAGAGATTTACTAATGTCTAGACAAGATTCTTAGAAAGACACTGAAAGAGTAAAAAAATATCCCCAAAATGTCAGTTATTTTCATCTCCACAATTTGGTTTGACCTATCTCAAAAAATAGCAGTAAAGTACTAGTAAATTTGTTTCACTGTTCAAAATCGTTTGCAAGTTCTCTGACCAACCATTCAATATCCATTACTGTATCAGTACACATTCCTTATCTTGACCTTGATGCACTTTACAAAGAAAGGTCTCTAATTAAGAAAAGGCCTGCTTTAATCAAACAAGCACAATCACATAAGTGTTAACTTTTTGACACCTATGGCACCTTTAATTTGTAATGATAACCTATATGTCCCACTCATTTTAGAAAGCTAATACTGTCATGTACATGTTCCAGTTCCTAACAACATTACCTACATATCTACTTACTAGTTGAAGTTTCCTTCAAATGAAGAAATACAGGCCCGTAGCCAGCAATTTCAAAAGGGGGGTTCATTTTCTGAAAAAGTGGACCTTTTTCCATAAAAACATCATGTACCTAGAGCAAATTTTACCCAGAGTGGACCTTTTCCCAGCAAAAGGGGTGGTTCTTTCGAACCCCCCGAACCCCCCCTGGCTACGGGCCTGAAATATAAATAATTGAAAAAGAAAATTATTTTCAAATTGGATGATAAAAGTTATTCTCTAAAATCAAATTATGCAAAAAGATTATGTACAACAACGTGACACATTAAAAAAGTCCACAGGTCTTAAGATTTTTTTTTTTTGAAAAATCAGGGGTGAATGCGGATCCTTTACAAATCCTAAAAACACGAGAATCAAATGCATTCAGTTCTATACAGGGATCTGGAGAGGGGTATAAATAAGACACCCTGGTATTTACCTTATTTACTCCAAAATATGACTTTACATGCACCTATAGATGTGCACGTATATGTAACATCAAACTTCTATTAACTTACACACCTGGTCGTCTTTCCAGCAAGGTGTCAATCATATCAACATGACCATAGAAAGTGGCAATATGTAAAGGGGAATGCCTGTCAAACACATTGGTTCCAATCTCTGCACCCTCAAGTAAAAGGATATCTACTAGGGACTTATGATTGTGAGTACAACACACTGCCAGTGGCGTGCCCTAGAGAATATGAAAATAATTGATAAAAAATAGAAAAAGAGAAAATATCTAGATATACTCAAATGATCATGACAAATAATTATTATACATGTGATAAAACTATTAATAGTCCTTTATTCAATGCTGTTAGTATGCCAAGGTAGGAACAGATGTCTGTATATAAAATTAGGCTCATCTTCTGTTAACAGGCACAAACTACAAGACGTAAAAATATTATTTTACAGTTTACAAATCTGTGAAGCAAGGAGCACCGATACAGATGTTACTGTTACTGCAGTTGGAATGCTGCATAGGTTGATGGTACATATACACGTTTAAGTCACATGGCAGAATGAGCATGTGTTTTCAAAGTCACCATGTTAAAATATCAATTCCATCTAAGCTTATCAACATAATGTCAGAACTTTGCCTGAACAAACAATCATATTATCATTTATACTATTCAGCCTGTACATAGCTTGCAGTGTTGATGATACTAACAGTTACAAAGTGCACTTACTGATACACTTAGTAGCTGTGAGATACCCGTCAATCCATTTTTAATAGACACTCAAGTATCTGTTAAAACACTGCTCATCATCAAACCATGGTACTGTACTAGTAATTCCACATTAAATCCAAACTAAATTACATGTATGTGATATTGCCATCAAAATTAATACATCATTAAGAATATATACAAATGATTAGAAAAACCTACATGTAAAAGCAGAAGGTTATGTCAGAAAGCATATTTTTAATGAAGAATTACAAAATCATGGAAGGAATATATGTACATGTACGTGCAATTATAGAATGAGCAAAATGTTAGCAATTCATTGACTATTACCATACTCAGTATTTTTAAGCAGCTATGTGTTCTACAAGAATAAAAATGTTCTCTCATGAAGTTCTGATTTGACTAAAGAGGTTGAAGCTCTTATAAATATGTTTCTTTAACATACATAAGAAATTTATTTGCTTTTTGGTACAACTACATATATGCATCCTAATACTAAAATGCTCACCTCATGGTCTTTATAAAGATTTAGGTTAGCTCCCCTACTGACAAGCACCAGTGCAATTTCCTCAAATCCATCCTTACAAGCCTCATGGAGGTAGTAAAAGCCACTAAGACTGGGGTCCAGCACATTACTGACCAGCTCTTTATTTTCATTTAAGAGAAACAGCAATTTTGTTTTATTGTCAGTGGAAACTGCATCATAAACCTTTAGGGAAAAATCTGAAATGTTGAACAAATTAAGCAAATATTACATGCATTTCTCTTTATCATTTGCAAATAACTTGCTTTCTTTTACAGAGAGAGGCTATATGACAAATGAAAATTCAATCAAAGCTGAATCCACTGTATAAAATTGTATCTACTAGCACATTACATATAGAACTCTGAATATTCCAGAAGCCTGTGTCAATCAGAAAGCCATCTTGAGCTGAATTCATTTCCCCTGTGTCAATTTTATTATCTTCGGAAACATACTACTGTATTATAAATACCACAGACAAGATTTAGATCAAGGAAAATTGTTTTGTCTTGGTGAGGATGCTGAACTGGCAAAATGCTTTTGCAACATCATTATGGCAAGACTGTTTTTTTTAAGACAAGAGGGGGTCTTTATTTAATCACCTAATATTATGCAATTCCTTACCATGTTTATATCTTTAATTATTACATTCTCATACACTGCCCCCGGTATTATGCTCAGTACCAGAAGATAAAACGACGCATATGATAGTGATGTANTTTTCTACAAACATCGCAAAATGCAAAGCCGCTAACATGCGTTTTTATTTTTATTGTTTTAATCATGCTGTCAAACCTTGCTTGGATTTCTCTCGTTGGGCCATTCACATCACAATTTTTCGCGTGTCTCTCAAGCTCCATGATATCATATCTAGGAGAATAAAATTTTATTTTGTCAACATTAGATTTACCTTTTGCAAACGGCGACCAACAATCATTTCCGGTTGCAAAAATTAGCTAGGCAAAAAGTATCCTTTTTAGCGTTTTTTTTTTATCGATTTTTCTTTCATTTGTCAATTAATTAAGACGATTCGATTAACTCTTTTGCCCATTTATTAGGTATTCAGAAATCAGTCATCCGTCTAAACAAATAGGACCGGTTTTCCCCAACTGCCACGCATAGGTCCAAAATTTTCTTTCTTTCCTCAGGAAATGGACTTTTAACACGAACTTTTCTCTTCCCCATAGTGTACTAGCTAGACTTCTTCGCTGTTAAGCTGATGTAAGACTTATGACCTACGTAATCGGCTTATAACTCATTAACTGTGCTCCGACCTCCTCATGGCAACGGCCCTTAATAACAGAGGCGTGGCTTAGTTGTCAGCCTGACTGGGGCGCGTGCCGGTTGAAAAACTCATCAAAAGACACATTTTGCGATGCAAATTCATAAAAATTATTACATCCACCGTTAGATACTTTTTTGATTAATATAAACACACAAAAAACTCAAAAACATGATTTTAAGCGTATTTAACCCTATCACCGGCCTTAAGCAGCTATGTGTTCTACAAGAATAAAAATGTTCTCTCATGAAGTTCTGATTTGACTAAAGAGGTTGAAGCTCTTATAAATATGTTTCTTTAACATACATAAGAAATTTATTTGCTTTTTGGTACAACTACATATATGCATCCTAATACTAAAATGCTCACCTCATGGTCTTTATAAAGATTTAGGTTAGCTCCCCTACTGACAAGCACCAGTGCAATTTCCTCAAATCCATCCTTACAAGCCTCATGGAGGTAGTAAAAGCCACTAAGACTGGGGTCCAGCACATTACTGACCAGCTCTTTATTTTCATTTAAGAGAAACAGCAATTTTGTTTTATTGTCAGTGGAAACTGCATCATAAACCTTTAGGGAAAAATCTGAAATGTTGAACAAATTAAGCAAATATTACATGCATTTCTCTTTATCATTTGCAAATAACTTGCTTTCTTTTACAGAGAGAGGCTATATGACAAATGAAAATTCAATCAAAGCTGAATCCACTGTATAAAATTGTATCTACTAGCACATTACATATAGAACTCTGAATATTCCAGAAGCCTGTGTCAATCAGAAAGCCATCTTGAGCTGGATTCATTTCCCCTGTGTCAATTTTATTATCTTCGGAAACATACTACTGTATTATAAATACCACAGACAAGATTTAGATCAAGGAAAATTGTTTTGTCTTGGTGAGGATGCTGAACTGGCAAAATGCTTTTGCAACATCATTATGGCAAGACTGTTTTTTTTAAGACAAGAGGGGGTCTTTATTTAATCACCTAATATTATGCAATTCCTTACCATGTTTATATCTTTAATTATTACATTCTCATACACTGCCCCCGGTATTATGCTCAGTACCAGAAGATAAAACGACGCATATGATAGTGATGTACTGAGTAATGCAGGCAGATATGTCTACGATTTTTTTAATATAGAAAATTAATTTAAACCTTATCTAGCACGTTCACAAATCAATTTACCCCAAGTAGCCCCCCCCCCCAAAAAAAATAAAAAATAAAAATAAATAAATAAATAAAAAATAAACCGCCCATCTCCAACCTGCTCCGTCTTCCCTAACTTCCGCCCCATTGCATGGTCTCTTTCGTTTTCGATCAGGTGGGCGTTTTTACCTTCAATATGCCTATGAACAATAATGTTTTCTAATTTTCATTTACCTGAAAAATCCATGATCAGGATTTTCACATCTCTAACCGCAAAAGTCCATCAGCACATTCTAAGAATGATATGTTTATCAAATTTCTGTCTGGACCTTTTCCGCGAAGTCAATCTTCAAATACGCGCACCTTTAGCCCCCTCTACCGATAACCTTGTTCCAAGAAAAGACCAATATCTGTTTACGAGACGTTTGGTGCAGTTAGGTGCCGTGTTGACGTGTATCGACTTCTTAAATATCATTTGAAGAGCTAACAAGTGTGTAAACTTGTCAAACAAATAACTACAGTTAACCACATGTAACGTCCGTACATTTAGTCAAGATAAACCAAGCGGTAAACCAAGGTCACGATCGCAGCAGGCAAGCACTTAATATTTTTACGACTTGCGCCGTCATAAAAACATTACATACATGTACATTGAACTGCGTATCTAAGTTACACTTAACAGTAAAATGGAACTATTGTTCAACGTTGTGGCATTTGTATTTGCAACTCTTAAAATTTGTCCTGGTAAGTCGATTCGGTTTACTGGATAATTATAACGTTAACTGTTAACTTTCTAGTTCAGGTTACTAACATGTAGTAAAAGTACTGAACGTTCAAGTCTTGCCAGTCTAGAACAAAATGAAATTTTTGTAGTTATGTATGTACGTATGGAGTGGAAAATTTCCTAAAATTAAATGCCGAATGGCAAAACACAGAGTGGTTTACCCGGATGTCTACTAGTAACCCATAGTACATGTACAGATGTACAGGTACCTTTAATTATTTATGTCATTCTCTGCATTGCACGTACTGGTACATGTCCTACATGTAGTAGTACACAATGCCAGGACAACATAATTATGTACAGACAGCGTTGTATGAACAAGGATTGCTTTTACTGATGTTTACTGTCATAAGCAAGGTACAATCATACATATGTAGACCAAGATGGGTGTAGCTGAATTGCGCAATGCAGCACAACACACTTGAAAAAACAAGTCAAGTTGCAATTACACAAAAGAAACGGACATTCCCAACAAAATAGGGTGATATAAAAGCAAACTTTATTACTTGGTAATTAATATTGTTAATATAACTTAACAAATCTGCAAGACTTTTATATAGTCGTGTCAGCAGCCATGTTGGTGAATGGTTCTTCTTGGACATATTACCAGCCTAGAAGAGCCACTTGCCAACATGGTAGCCGACCCTTCAATGAAAATATTGTGCATGGGTCATTCAACAGAAATGCGGAAACTGTCAGTCCGATCGGTCATGACCGGCAAAATTTGTCTGGACCGATAAAAAATTGGCTATTCCAAAGGACCGACAAGAGTTTTAAAAGTCGCAATTTTGAATTTACAGTCATCATTTGACATACATGTACTTCCAAATGTCCGGCCATTCTGAAAAGTTTTCAGCATGTCTGTTCCATGTCAGCTCATCCAGTAGTGGTACCTTCTGTCACGGACTTGCTGATTTTCACATGTTTTGTAGATATTATACCCAGCTAGAACGGGAGCCCCAGCTGCCCACGAGAGCCCAGGCTGCCAGAGAGACTGCACACTGGAGCCCCAGACTGCAAAAGAGCAGTCTCCCTGGCAGTCTCTCTGTGCCTCATTTAAATCTACCACAGTAGGCCACAGTTAAGAAAAGCACTAGAACAAAAGTTCTGAGTACTAGTATCCCATTGCTTTGTAACTTTCAGGACTTTATATTTTAACATTTTAGGAGTCCAACTATCACATTGAAAATGGTTTGGCAGATTCAGAAGGCACTTAATTTTTACTTTGAAAAATCCTAGTCATTTTACCAAAATGACGGGACACCCCACCCTTTTAATCTAATTTTTCTCAGTGTCTGAAGTGGACAGGTATTTTTGCTTTATGTCATTTAAAAGAGGAGGCTTTGAACTCTAAGTTAACGTGTTAAATCAATTTTAAAATATATTATGGAGACAAAAGTAATATTGCATTATAAAAACTGTGTGATATGGGCTATTTCATGATCACTGATACAGAACAAACTACTTTCAAACACCCAAATTTATAAAACACAAGCCAAAAAACTTTCATACTATTAGCTTTTGCCCCCCCTCCCTATTCATGTGTTGCTGATGACGGCTGATGTTGCTTGCCTCATATCTTATTTATCTTTCAGAATAAAGATCATGTGATGTTGTAATACTATATATTATATTTTGATGTGAATGAAACTGTTTTATACAGTTACTGATGTGATAAGCAGTACATGCCTGACTGTCAGTCATTAACTTGTGAGTCATTTGGCCATTTCTGGTTTATCTAAATGTGTCACTCTCTTTTATAGATTTTTCTGCAGTGTTTGGTTACCATAAAGTTAATGCTTAACTACCCTCTACCAGGGCGAGTGATAGATTTTTTAACTCAGTTGAGCTTTAAATGACCATCTATCTAGCTAGAGACATATCTGTGAATATCTGTAAAAAATCTATCACTCGCCCTGGTAGAGGGTAATGCTTAACATACTTTTGCCAGATGCAAACATAAGGCCAGCAATCCTAACTGTAAAACTGTTACCTATTTGTTAGATCTATTTATTAATTTATTTGGGTTTTAAAAACTAATTTTGCAAGTTGTTTGCTCTCTGAGCAATTTCATATTTTATGTTTGTTTTAACAACATTTAGAATATATGTGATACATAATTTCTAGAATTTTGGTCTTCTCCAGTATTTTAAATGATATCTGTATGTGTTTAGCGATCTCATAAAGAAGTCAGAAAAATAACTTATTCAAGCAAAAGTTGCTAATAGTTGCAGGCTTTTCTAATTGTGTGCTAAGATTTGGAAAAGGTGCATCTTTCTGTCTAAGGCCTTTGCATAATACTGAACTTGTGTGATCTTAGCAATATATATTGTTAAAGTAAAGTTAATTACATATACTAGTACTTCGAATAAGAAGTACAGAAATACTGAATATTAGATATAGGGGAAGCAAGAAAACTGCACATTCTGTCAATTCTGAGCTCGTCCAAAAGCAGTTTTCAATTAGCCTGTGTTTACATGCATTTTTTTCATTATGTATTGTATTTTCTCATAAACCTTGCCAGTCCAGAGGACCTGTGATATCAAAAATCCTGCAGGTCCTCTGGCATACCAAGTGGTCAGGCAGTTTCTCCAAGTCTGGAATATTGTGATGTTTCAAATTATTTTCTTTCCCTCATTGAGGACATAATGCAGTTGGTTTGCCAAAACATAAAATGACACATTCATGATTTGTTTACACTCTGAATTGGACATTGCAAACCAATATGCTAGTGCCATTGATATAGGGTCAGGTTTTAGATACATCAAAATATTTGATAAAAACTGATCAATCTACCTATGTTTTTATTATAATTATTCATTTCAGGTGTACATGGGGAAAGCTGTCCTTCCAGATATAATGAATTTTTTGGTCAGACAGATGGTGGATTTGATTGCCCCAAGTTTCCGTGGAAAGGAGATTATTGCTGTGGTGATGCTGATTCATTTTACTACTGTTGTGAATTTGGATCTAAATATGGGTGAGAATCAGGATATTATAAGGTTCTGGATAAGAAGCAATGATTTCAGCATTAGTGATGATGATTCCAGAAAAGAATTCTGACCTTGGTGATCTTGCTACAATGTAGCTTATGTGGTTAAAGAATGTTTCTCTCTTTCCCTCTCTCTCTCTCTCTCTCTCTCTCTCTCTCTCTCACACACACACACACACACACACACACACACACAGGAACCTTCAGTATTATAGACAGTTTTCTTGATTATCAACTTCTTTTTTCTTGCATGTTTTTTTTTTTTTTTTTTTTTTTTTTTTAGGCCATCTTTGGCCAATGCATAGACAGATGGATGTTGGGTGGAGTATATCATTTCCAATGTCTTTATGAAAATTATTACATTCTTTATGATAAAACATATTTACGAGGGACACCACACTGCCTGTGAATGTTTATAATAATAATATTATCATATATCTTTGTGATTGATTTGTGTCTGCTAACCAGAGGAATGCAGGCAATCCCACCTTAACTTGATATCTCAGCATGATTTCTGTTGGCAGATTTATAATACCCTGTGCTTGGTGTTTGCTTATTAGTTTACCAATAATTTTTTATGAAATTGGTTAGCAAAGCAATACAGCGTATCTACTGAAAGTTATTTATTGCATTTCCCTCATTTAATATCAAAACACATTTTGTGTTTTCAGGGGAATGATAGCTGGCATTGTAGTAGGAATGGTTATTCTAGTGATAATTATTCTGATTGTTACATGCATCTGCAAGAGAAGGTTGGGCACTAGTCAAGCAGCAAGAGCCACATATACAACTAGTGGAGTAACCACAACAACTTATGCAGGTGTTAACATCAATCCATATGATTTATAAATTATTATGTAAAGACATTTAAGTATACATTTATATGATCTAAAAACCTTTTCTGTAAAATGTCCATTTGTAGACTTTTTGGAAGAAATTGTGGCCATATAAGATATCAGTGGATTAAAATCAATCTGTTTCTGTGTTTAATGAAAAAAGCATTAACTAAGATGGTTTTTAGTAAAAATTGGTACTTGAAAAGGGTGTTTTAGAATTTTCTTATTAATACATAAGACCCCATTTCCGTAGATTTTAGATCAATCTATCCCTGTGGGGAGTCTCACTAGATTACTGTCAGCTTAGCCAGCTTAAGCATCTGTCCTGCCTACTAAAAGCTGTAAGGGGGTAATTAACTATGGTGCGCACTCGGCTGACTGCAATTTAACTTAAACCCCCAGGGAGTTCGGTCGATCTAAATCTTAATCTCTGGATCGATCTAAATCTCTGGGAATGCACCCCAAGTCTTTCACATCAGTCTCCTTCCCAAGTAACATAATCTAGATAATTGTGCTTTCCTGAAAGGATATAGTGCATGGGATTGGCATTATCTCATAACATCTAGACCTGTATTCTTTTTTAAATAATATAACCTGTACTTATTTCAAAAAGCACCTCGCACCCTTTTATTGTAATAGGAATACTTGCAGTAATAAATTTATGTAAAGGAGAATCTGGGACTAGTGTCCTAGGGAGAATATAGATTATTTGCTATCATTTAAGTGACTTAAATGCTCTTCATAATGTATTTGCTTAAGATTTTAGGTATAATTATATAAATGGGTAAATGTAACCTATGTACATGCACATTTACTGGTATCTGTTTGTTTGTTTTGTACATGTAGCAGGTCCTGGAGCAGGCACGACATATGGACCATCATTTCAAACTGGAACAACATACCAGACTGGAACAACATATGAATTACAGACAGCTGGTGGTTTTAACCAGGCAAATACGACAGCAGGCATGATGCCTCAACCAGGCTATAGGACACAGGGTCAGCCATACCCCCCTCCAGGTCCTGGTGTCACCCCATCAGCACCACCTGCTGGTAAGTAAGGGTACAGAAGTTGGTTTCATGCTGTGTTGAAGCTGCTTTGACAGTTAATGATCATGAGTTCTCATATTGGTTACTTCATTTTAAGGATTTTATTATTATTAGAAAATTTACCTTTTAAGCTTTATTAAACAAAAAGTGTCACTTAATGCTCAGCAAACTTCAGTTATACGTGGAATTTATTCAGTTTTTAATATTTGAAAAATATTTTGTTTACATAATCNTATGGACCAACATTTCAAACTGGAACAACATACCAGACTGGAACAACATATGAATTACAGACAGCTGGTGGTTTTAACCAGGCAAATACGACAGCAGGCATGATGCCTCAACCAGGCTATAGGACACAGGGTCAGCCATACCCCCCTCCAGGTCCTGGTGTCACCCCATCAGCACCACCTGCTGGTAAGTAAGGGTACAGAAGTTGGTTTCATGCTGTGTTGAAGCTGCTTTGACAGTTAATGATCATGAGTTCTCATATTGGTTACTTCATTTTAAGGGATTTTATTATTATTAGAAAATTTACCTTTTAAGCTTTATTAAACAAAAAGTGTCACTTAATGCTCAGCAAACTTCAGTTATACGTGGAATTTATTCAGTTTTTAATATTTGAAAAATATTTTGTTTACATAATCGGAAAGAAGAGAGCACATAGTCAAGTTTTTAATTTTTACATTCCAACTTTTAAGTATGTCAAAACATTGTGTAAAGTACTCGGAGAAATGTGCTAGGAATTTGGTATTGATTGTTTGCTTTTGAGCAATTCCACTTCTTTACCAGTTGAACGGTACACTGTACTTTTTATCTCCTGCTTCCAGAGTCATCCTTTCCTTCACAACCTTATGCTCCACCACCATCATATGCAAGTGTTGTTGACAAGTCTTGATGAGCAGGGGAGACATAATAGATGTAGTCGCCTTTGGAGGAAGAGAATGAAAGTGGAACGTTCACAAAAATGTATATTGTCATTCATTTGCTGTCAGTACATAACCTTGTTAGACATGAATTTGTAGTTCTTTTGTTTTTTTTTTCTAATACTATTTTATATATTATGTAATTTTACCAATATTATGTAATACAGTTTATTCTGCTCGGTTGCAATATAATGGAATTAATACATATTTTATGAATTTTTGCTACATGTATTTAATATCAAACTTCTGATGTACAGGTGCATTATTTTTTTTAAAACCACAAAGCTACCGGGTAGTTGTATAGTTTACATTTATTCTACCTCTTCAGAGTATTTTTATTGACTGCTAATGGAGGCAGATAATCTGAAACATTTGTTTTAAAAAAAAAGAAAAAGAAAAGAATAACTTCATCAATGTGTATGGAACTTTATAAAGTTGCTTGGTGCTATTTATAAGTTTCTCAAATACAGTATGTATATCTTTTGATAACAGTGAAGGGTAGTACTTGTAAACAATTAGCTCTGTTCAACATTTATCTACCTGTACATACCATGATTCAATGACTTTATTTCCTGATGATGACTTATCGACTATGTATGGGTATGAAAACTTGAAGTACTACATAAAAAGAGTAGGTTTGCCCCTTTTCACATTGGATGTTCCACTTAAATAATGCAGTCTGAACTCGAAATTGACTACTTAAAGGGATAACAATTAACTGTTCTTAAGATATACATATTTCACAATAAATACATTGTAAACAACTCTAAGAAATATTATAAATTCTATTTTACCACCAAAACGGCAGTTAACACAATTATTCTGGAATTTGTGCTTGCCATCACATATAAAATGTGTCAGGAAAGCATGATGTGCTTGAGACAAAGTTGTAAAGTAGTCAGACAGGTTTGGGTTGAGATAAAGCTACCAAAAAACAAAAGAAGTTGGTTCATCATTAATTAAGACAAACTTCTACCTAGTAGTAAACTGCTGCTCTCCCAATAATGTTTGTTTAAATACACAGGAACACGGGTGAACAACCAAGGGAAATTATAGTAATTACTGGGTACAATCTCATGAAATTGAGCAGGTGATTTTTGCTTATTTCAACATTTGTGGAAAGGTTTCAGAAATTGTAAGAAATTCATTGCATGGACTATATTGTGAGGATAATTTGCTCTTGAGTCCAAGTTGAAATTAAGGTGAAAGTAAATATTGAATATGATGTGTAATACTACATGGTTTAAAAATACTGTAGAAATGTATAAAGCTCAATAATTGTAAAGAGAATGCATGATTTACTGAGTACATGGAGAAAAACACACATGCATACACTTGCTAATTTCAGCATACGAGTACACAGGGATATGTTGTTTATTAATTAAACCAATGCTTATGCATTTTTTTAGCCAAAGGCATACACTTCCTTTCATTAGATGTATTTTAAGTTGAAACATTTACTAACCTGAGTGGTGCATTGTACTCTGCATAGGTTGCCTTCTGCATTTGGGCAGGCTAATATAATAGCCTTAATGTTATTGGCAAGTCACTTTTGCACTTAGGGAAACTTGTATTATAGATACTGCTTACTAGTTTGGCTGTATAGAATACCCTTCTTGCAGTCTGATGGTTCAACATTATTTTCAGTCTTATACCCTAGTCACACTAGAGGCAGAATGTGCTAGAATATCATCGGAATGGAAATTCTTTGTATATTCCTGGATATTTGAAGTGCATTCTAATAATTCTGAGTGCATTCCAAATATATGGGCCCATTCTTGTGTCTGGTCTGAATGTTTTGCTCATGCTCTAAACTTTCAAAATGCATTCCAAGTGGAGAAATATTGAATGGCATTTGAGGTGTGTTCTAACTGCACTATTAGTGCATTGTTAATATTCTTACAGCATTCCGACAGCATTCGAAACATTCTTATCACATTTGAGGGAGAACTGAAATGGCAAGACACTTCAAATCCTGCCAGAATGTTTTGCATGTGCCTCAAATAAGCCGGAATGCAATTTGAATGCATCTTGATTGGTGCATAAATCATATTTCGTCCAGCAATGGAAAAACACTCGTACGACATTTGAAATACATGTATATTCTAAATATTCTGACTGCATTCAGCCAGCATTTTCAATATTACACGTTCCAACTGCATTTGAGCTGATTTGAGTGCTAAAACACCCGAAATGTGCACGAATCATTCAAGGCGGGTTTGAAGCAGATTCTGAGTATTCTTACAGGAATTTAGGTCAGTTTGAAATTTCCTCCAGAACGTGAAAATTCTTTATTCTGGCTATTTCTGCTTGGTTATTGCGGATTTGGAATAAGTTTGACGGGGCTTTACGGTACTACAGGTAACGGATTATGTCAGAGGACAACGCACCACTAACGCGTTGGGTGATTAAAAAATTCGTCTAATACCTAACTACGCCCCCCTTTTATGAATGGTCGCNATCACTGTTGGATGCCTGAAATGGTAGACATTTTAAGTGTTGTTAAGAATATTGTAACCCTTTATTATTATTATCCAGATACAGTAAATGAGGTTTTCCCTGCATCTTATTATTCCATAATGCATCTATCTTTGTGCTGATTTAAAACAATAAAAAACCTCCAAAAATATAAAATATAGCATTTATGTATAATCATTGGCAACTCAATCAAAGCTTTAATTGTCATTTTAACACCTTTCTATTTTATGGAGAGGTAGCAATTAGTATGGGGCATAACGTCATCCCTGAACAAGATTTTTATCATGAAAAATGGCAGAGTTGACCACGAATGTATGAGCCACAATCCAGTGCTGTCATTTTGGTTTAAGTGGTTTTATTATGGAGCTATGAGCCCCTAATTACAGATTTTCATTAAACAAAGGCATTATTTTGCTTTATCAATGATTAAATCTTTAAAATCTTTTTAGAAAAATTGCTGGCAGTTTTTGAATGCTAAATGTTATCATTAAATCGGTGTTAAAACTGTGATTGTGGGTGCTCAGGTAAAAGAAATTTGAGAAAGTTTTTACCCCAAAATCACAACTATGACATTACCCGTAAAATGACATATGTTAAAATGATAATCAATTTAGTCACTGAACACTGAAGATTTATTTATTACCCAGAAGAATGCATGTAAGGCAGTAAATAAGGAATTTTGGGTGAAGGGTGACAATATCCTTAATTAAAATGATTCAGACTATATTGAACCTTCAGACTAATGAACCTTGGGACCAATGAAGCTTTGGACTTATAAACCTTCCAACCAATGAATCTTCAATGTTCAGACTGTAGAAGCTTCAGACCAATGAACCCTTTTGAAACAGATGAAAATTCTATTAATTTTCAGACCAATTGATGAACCTTTGGACTATATAGAGGCCTCGCCATGTGAATGCTAATTTTTATAGTATTAGTCATTTATGATTTGATGTTTTGGGCATATTAGCACACCAGTTGAACTCATAATACTCTGGCTATAAATATCAGATTGTATTGTGGTATAATACAAATTTATAGATATATACTGTTTAACTCTGATTTATCCGGTTTATCCCTAAAATTGCTCTTGTTTAATTAGTTTTCTTAAACCTGTGCTGTCTAAGATGATCAGTGCCTGTGGCGTCCGTGTCAGTTTTTTAAATGATGTTTCTCTTTCAATTCCAATCAATTTCTATAAACAAAAAGCTAACACAAATATGTTACTAACACTTTTTTCTAACCATTAAAATTCCATAGAAAACAACCACTCTAAGGGTATTACCCCAGTATATTGGTCTCCTAATGCATTTACGTAGGTTGTGTAGTTTTTTATAAACTTTTTCCTTTAGCTTTGAATAAAAAAAAATAGAAATTTATTCTTGTTCTTCTGTCATGTTATTGTATAAAGTCCTTAGACATGTAACTAAAAGGTCACAGTAGAGAATAGATAAATCGCACATATTTTTGGTTATATAGCATATTAGTCATAGGTTAAGGTGCCTTAATTAATTACTTCTAGGTAGTTTCATATTTACATTCATTTTCAAGTGCATTGAAACACTAACTGTAATATTAGTAAAAAGTTTATATTTACCATTGTGTGCCAATTGTAGGGTTCAAATGTTTGACATGAACTGCTAAAAAAATATAAAAGAAATAATGTATACCCAGTAACAAGAACACACAACAGCTGCGTATCAGATTCATGTTAGCATTTCCTTCTTGACTTCAAGGATACTCTTATTGATACATTTGTTCTTAGGCACTTCCATTAGTTTTTTTCTTTTTCCATCTGACTTAGAAGAACAGATTAACCTTGACCTTAATTCTTTGTTCAAAGAAAGAAAAATGTACTTCTATGCATATTCCACTTGAATTATATATATTTGCAGGTTTTAACAGCAAAGAATTGCAGTCAAAATGTTTCACTGAAATGATATGTGAAAAGAGAAAATACGTTTCACAGTGGTGGATTCGGTTTCTGAAAAATGTATCACACCAATATTCCTTTCTAGAAATTAGAATTTTGACTAGCTGAATCTTAGTTCTAAACAGGACCAAATGGCATCGTTTGCCCTCCAAAACACCAAAAATTTTTTGAGGCTCTTGAGCAGGCCCAAACCTCACGCCAAGGGGACGATGGTCTGCTTCTCATCCGAGGCTTGTCGTTTCAGTCCCCCCCTTCAAATAATCCTGGAACCGCCCCTGTTTCAACATGTTTCTGCAAACAGATGCCCAAATTCATTATGATTCTTTACCAGGTTATTAAAATTTGTTTAATGATTTATTATATGTGTAAAGTTAACCTTAGAACCTCTACATGTAAGTTTCGCTACTAAGGCATATTTGTTATTTTTTAAATAAATAAATGTGTTCTTATTATTACTTATGAAAGTGTTACTTTTTTTCTTTCCTCCACTGCACCTCTACTTTAAAATCACATTACGTGCGTACTGCTTCCTTTGCTTTGAATGATAACAATATTACATTCAACAGAGTAGATTAGTAAGTCTCTGTGCTTGACAGGTGGTTTCCATAAAAAGCCGGACTATTTAGAGACTATTTTTGTTTCACAAGTTAATGACCTTTGGGACCCTATGGGGATTTAACGACATTAGTTTTGATTATATAAACCAATTTTGATCGGATTTTTTCTTTATGGTGAACTAGTATGTCCCAGTAAGATCGTATTATGTCGTTATCAGGTTTATGCACCCAGTTTTTATGCCATCATGTAGCNCTGATTCTGATTCTGTTTCACAAGTTAATGACCTTTGGGACCCTATGGGGATTTAACGACATTAGTTTTGATTATATAAACCAATTTTGATCGGATTTTTTCTTTATGGTGAACTAGTATGTCCCTGTAAGATCGTATTATGTCGTTATCAAGTTTATGCACCCATTTTTATGCCATCATGTAGCGTTTTTACGACAATCCTTTTCTAGCTGACAGCCGTGCGGTAACTGCGCAAAACCATGCAGTTATATCTGGCTATTTTAGCGAAATGCGTTATTTAATAGGTGATAACAAATTTTTTTTATCCGTTTTATCTGCACGTTTCTACGAACAACAAGGTTAAAGGGTCAAATAGGGTTTTCAGATAGACAACGCCCCCGTTTTCACAGAAATCACATGACTAATCGAAAACGAAACTAGTTGGAATTTCCGATGCCAAGTAGTATATAAACGGATGTGGGGGGCGGACTTTCTACATATCACGTCCAGACAGCTGCATGACAGAAACCGGTGTGGTCGCAGAGTGACACAAGCACAAAGAAAGGCAACGTTTCCATGAAGATTTCTTTCCTTGGTACCTGTGGGCAAATATATAGGTAGAAGTACGTTTTATTATAGATGATACACTGCCGAGCGATATTTCAGAACACCTCGAAGTCTGCAAGGCAGGGTGGGGCATAGCACGAAAATTCATGTGTGCTAAGGAAGTAATTGCCAAATTTATACTCTCATCACATAACAGGGGGGTAACTAGACCTGCAAAAATTGTATGCACATATTTTAAAAAATTACAAGCACATACAGCAAAATGTAGACTTACGCAAAACATGAAGGACAGCGTAATCACAGCAAATGTACCTCATATAGTAGCTTAGTTTCCATTAATAATAAAATCATCATTTAAGTCAAAAATATTCTCGCGATTTAATAACTATTCTAATTTACCCAGAACGGTATATTTATTTTAAAGGCGGTTAACTGAAATATAGTTTTATGATTTGTGTGTGAAAATTGCCCATGTCACCCTGTTAGTTTGGAGGTCTAAGCTGGATCAAGTCCGTGTTAAAATTCCTATGAAGTTGTGCAGGAAAATTTCTTCCTTTCTTTCTCTAGCTCCTCGATAAACCTGGTGTTCAGATTTTATCTAGTACTCCCAGGTCTACGGGAGCTGCTCTTTGTAACTAACGCACAGGTAGATTTTTACCTGAGATAACTGGAGTAAAGCTTAGATAGAGAGTGCGTTCGATACAAGCAAGACAAATTGAATGCCATTTAACCCTCTAATTAAGAGGTAAAGGAAGTTCCAGTTAGATGGATGATTAAGATAGGACTTGTAAAGGTAACGGGCATTGTTTACCTCAGTTTAATAAAAGTATGCAAGACGGAGTGTCAGCGGTTTAATAAAATAAATTGAATTTCACAAATAACATGGACCTCATATGCAATAATCAACATTTCCCTTAACTCATTCAAATGCAGTGTTTTATACAACTTGGGATAACCATGATTAAATGCTTGTTAAAGAATTGACTAGACGGGAAATGGTTTTACACAGCTTCACGAGGATTTAGACCCCTCGGGTAAGAGATTTGAATGAGTATAAACTTTTATCAGAAGCCAGAGAAGTCATCTTACAGGTAGACAATGCAGCTCAGTTTAACAGCTAAGCACGCTCTATTCTCCAGTGGCTCGATTGTCGTCATCAGACCACGTGACAACGTAGCTCATTAACTCTCAGGCCGAGCAAATAGGACGTTTTTTAAAGCCAAAAATTTACAAAATGAGCTTTTAATTTGTGTATTTGGATAAAGATATCGTTAGTTGGGCATGTTTTCTGAAGAATATGTTCCGTTCAGGCCATTCTCACGGCATGAAGCAAACCCTTTAAAGTATTATGTAACATTGCATCACAATTGTGCATTTTTTTCTGTGTAATGTCTGAACATTTGTCAGCTTTGCTGCCTTGTTTCCTGTATGGCGTCTGTATATTTGCCAGTATATTTATATTTATCATGTGTTTTAACTTACAAGAATGATTCTTAGGATTGACATTCAGCTCAAATTAAAAAAAAGGCTCTTTTAGATTATCATTTTTTATTGAATTTATCCAATTTTTTTGTGAAATTTCCATTTTTCTCATCCTAGCATACTCAAAGTGTAAACTTGAAATGATCTCTTATGGGCCTGAAGCCTTATGCTTATAACACATTTTGCTAACATTGTACATAATTAAAATTATGTGTGCGTGACAGGAACCGCGCGCCACAGGGATCATTGTAGTCCTCTGCTGTTTCCAGCATATGGCACTGCTAGGTGTAGATGATGTATAGGGTGTGCATATAAAATGGCCATTTGAAGCGTGCACTGCTTTGTGACAAACTAAAAAGGTGGCTGAAGCACAGAAATGCGTCAACTGTAGGCAAGAAAACAGCTATTTGGACAGAAATCGAGCTTGGCAGCCCCCTTAGCAGTCTGCTTGGCAGTCCCCCTGGCAGTCTTAATTTGCATATTTGGAACGCACTGCCAGGGGGACTGCCGAGGCAAGGCAGTCCCCCTGGCAGTCTGCTTTGGCAGTCCCCCTGGCAGTCTGCTTGGCAGCCCCCCTAGCAGTCTTAATTTGCATTTTTGGAACGCGCTGCCAGGGGGACTGCCAAGGCAAGGCAGTCCCCCTGGCAGTCTGCTTTGGCAGCCCCCCTAGCAGTCTGCTTGGCAGTCTACTCTGCAGTCTCCTTAGCAGTTTGCTTAGCAAAATAAAATTTGGCAAAATCTTTTTATTTATTTATTTTTTTTTTTAAGTCATACATGTATATATTCAAACAATAATTACATTTATCAAAAGGAATCTGGAAATAATCTTTCTCCCAAGTATGTGTGTAAGTTCAAATCTAAATACAAAATTTCCCCTTGATCACAAAATGTATGTTATCTGTTCCATTTATATCTAACATATTGGTTTATTTCTCTCTATACTATTTAGTTCAGTTTACTATTTTATATATTTTTATTTTTCTACAAAGCCCATATTAGCAGAGGGCTGGGAATTCTACTGTACGTTATTTAATCATTCCAAAAACTCTGTCACAGAATTCACTGGCCAGGATTCAATACAGCGATACAGACACATAAGAGCTATATTTCAAGTAATTTTTAAGGTTAATGTGGGCAAGTTATACACTAATACAATTTTTAAAGTGTACATACCAAAGGAAAAAAGGCTCATTTCATTTAAACTTTGTATTTTTAACACATTGTATGATGATGAAAAGTACAAAGATCGATGTTTTAAAAGGTACTATCCTCATCTGTGAATCATTGTCTATATTCATGTCAAAAACTACAAAGTTTGAAATAATATTATAATTGACAAGGACCAAAATGGTTAAATGCAAACCTTTTTCTAGCCTAATAGCAATTTCAAGTACTTTTAAAAACCACAAACAGAATTAAAAGTGCTGGGCTAAAATTGAACACTTCTCAAGGCTCTATGGATCCTGGTGCATCAGTAAACTATACATGTAGAAAAATACAAAATCAAAAGGACTTGCATGCTCACTTCTTATCTTGTCTCTGTCTCTCTTCATTTTTCTTTCTACATGCATTTCCTAAAAATGTCTTCTAGCTTTTTCAATCCAGAAATCAATGTTTTCAGATTTCTTGCCTCTTCCTTAGCACATTCCTGACCTAGCTTCTGGCTTAGATTTTTTAATTAATTAGCTCAACGGTTATGTACTACTGCCTGTGCTGTATAGTTATTTGACCTCATTGGGCAAGCTGTAGGTGAACTGTTTATATCAAACTGACAGATAAGATAAACATGCCCCTGGCTTGAAATGAATTTGGTTTTGAAAGTTACCAGTTAATTTTAATCACAAGTCCAACTTAAATTGATGCTAACTGTGAGGTTTAAAATTTATATATTATGCAATTGTATAATTACATTTATCAAAAGGAATCTGGAAATAATCTTTCTCCCAAGACTTCTCATAAGACTTCAATCATTTCAATGAAAATAACAGCAATAATAAAGGATATTTTCACAGCATTATTTAAAAAATATAAATCTAAAAAATATTTAAGTTATTGCAGCCCCCTTTGCAGTCCCCTGCAAAATGTTGAATTTATTGCAGCCCCCTTTGCAGTCTCCTGCAATATGTTGAAGTTATTGCAGACCCCTTTGCAGTCTCCTGCAAAAATGTTTAAGTTATTGCAGCCCCCTTTGCAGTCTTCTGCAAAAATGTTTAAGTTATTGCAGCCCTCTTTGCAGTCTGCCTGCTCAAGGAGACTGCACACTGGAGCCCCAGACTGCAAAAGGGCAGTCTCCCTGGCAGTCTCTTTGGCAGCCTGGGCTCCCGTGGGCAGCCGGGGCTCCCATTCTAGCTGGGTTGAAAAAAAAATAAATAAATAAATTCCACCATCCTATAGTACTCATGCACAGCTGAAAAATGAATATTTTAAATTGCGTAAATCCAACAAATTTTTCAAAATTACATTTCCCCTGGGTATGATGAAATTTTCAAAAGTCAGACCTTCAGGCTTTTATCTTTATTGGCTTTTATCCTTGCCCCTCATATATTGTGGGATATTTATCACTACTGAGTACTTCCAAAGTCACTTTCTGGTGGTAAATAATAACTTGCCCGAAAAGAAAGTTGAGGATTTTCTTTCAGTATGAAACATGCCTCCAGACAGAGGAGAGGGGTCAAGATAAGCCTAATTGCACCCTTATATTATAAACTGGACACAGCATATGTAACATTACACACTTAAATAGCATCTTTTGTTGCATGCAAGGCTTTTCCTAGAACTGAGTGTCAGGCCTTCTGAAATTACCATCTGTAACTTCCCAAAAAATTACAGGGAGTCCAACTTTTCCAAGTGCTGGGGGTGGGGGGTTAAAGATAAAATGAAAAATATATTTTAAAAAATTGAAAGGGGGAGGGGTTTAAAATAATGATCTTCTCTGAATAAAGTTCCCAAATTCCTAGAACAAATATGAAAATTGCCTTCTTGTGAACGATCTGCTGACGATATTGCGTGAACTATCTCCCACTGAATATATGAAAATTGCCTTCTCATCTCATTCGGATTCCAAACTATATCCCGCTGACGAGATTGCAAGAACGATCTCCAAGTTTACAAGCTAGGTAATCGTTATTGCGCAATGAACATGAATAGAAGTGACTGGTTCATTTTCTTTCGAGATAATATCTTGGTTTTTCATTTTGTCTTCCTCATTTAGGGCAGCCAACAATAACATTAAAGGTGTTACAACTGACAAAAAGCTGCAGCCTGTTACTTCTGTTTACCAACTTGAAAACTCACCTTGTGCAAACCGTGTGTATATGAGCCAGGTAATAGTAATGACACTAAAGACAAAAGGCCGACCCACATGTAAACCATCTATATTATGAGTAGCCACTCGCAGGGACGCACTATTGTTCCTATCTACCATTGAGACTGCTATCGGCAATTATATCCTGGTCGTAGTATTGTCTTGAATCAAAATAAAATCTAAATATTGGTTTTGATTTGATTATTGAACTAGTGAAAAAGCAGTATTTTATAAAAAAAATTTAACAATTGCTAAATATTTATTTGCAAATGAGTTTTCAAGACTTACATGACTTAATTACTGAGAGATATTTCTAGTGTTGGTATAAATTTTAATAATCCAAAAGAGAAAGTGGTGTACATATTGACAAACACTGTAATAGGTCAAATAGATAAAGAGAAGCTTCTAAAATTTAAAGTGTTGCAGTAGAAGACATCTTGAACAGTTAGAAAAAAATATTTTTGCATTTTTTTTCTTTTACATTTATGTGATGTCAAGGCTTTAAACACATTAGGAAGGTCTGGTTATACATTTAATATGGTGGATTGAAGCACTGGAGATTAAACTAAAACCAAAAGTACCAGATGCATTTAATTATGATTGAGAAAATCATATTAAATGAACAGTCTTCTATGCTTTAATTTCACTCTAACCATGTAGAGTAGAACTTTAGGAATTATCAATTTTGTTGCTTCCAATCAATAAGAATGCTTTATATTTAAGAATTTTACTTTAAAAAGTACAGTATTTGTAAAATAAGAACTAAATTAAGAACTACTAGCTCTGCCATTTATGTTATGTTGGAAGGGGCTTTGATGTCATTCAAACACCTGCAGAACCTGCACACCTGAAAGGGGAGGGGGAGAGGCATTCTATGTACTGTATTAACCTTTGCATATACTTGTACCTACTATCTGTATGTACATGTACATATCAGTACAGTAAATAATGTACATGATTTTCTAGTTGGCTGGCTGTTCAATTTTGGTACGCTGTTTGGGAATCGTCGGTACTTGATCAATATAACACAGGGGCAGATCCAGATATATTTATTGACAGTCCTTCCAATTGTCTTTTTTATCCATCCTCCATTTTTGACCANGTTCCATTTATATCTAACATATTGGTTTATTTCTCTCTATACTATTTAGTTCAGTTTACTATTTTATATATATATTTTTTTCTACAAAGCCCATATTAGCAGAGGGCTGGGAATTCTACTGTACGTTATTTAATCATTCCAAAAACTCTGTCACAGAATTCACTGGCCAGGATTCAATACAGCGATACAGACACATAAGAGCTATATTTCAAGTAATTTTTAAGGTTAATGTGGGCAAGTTATACACTAATACAATTTTTAAAGTGTACATACCAAAGGAAAAAAGGCTCATTTCATTTAAACTTTGTATTTTTAACACATTGTATGATGATGAAAAGTACAAAGATCGATGTTTTAAAAGGTATTATCCTCATCTGTGAATCATTGTCTATATTCATGTCAAAAACTACAAAGTTTGAAATAATATTATAATTGACAAGGACCAAAATGGTTAAATGCAAACCTTTTTCTAGCCTAATAGCAATTTCAAGTACTTTTAAAAACCACAAACAGAATTAAAAGTGCTGGGCTAAAATTGAACACTTCCCAAGGCTCTATGGATCCTGGTGCATCAGTAAACTATACATGTAGAAAAATACAAAATCAAAAGGACTTGCATGCTCACTTCTTATCCTGTCTCTGTCTCTCTTCATTTTTCTTTCTACATGCATTTCCTAAAAATGTCTTCTAGCTTTTTCAATCCAGAAATCAATGTTTTCAGATTTCTTGCCTCTTCCTTAGCACATTCCTGACCTAGCTTCTGGCTTAGATTTTTGAATTAATTAGCTCAACGGTTATGTACTACTGCCTGTGCTGTATAGTTATTTGACCTCATTGGGCAAGCTGTAGGTGAACTAGCTGTTTATATCAAACTGACAGATAAGATAAACATGCCCCTGGCTTGAAATGAATTTGGTTTTGAAAGTTACCAGTTAATTTTAATCACAAGTCCAACTTAAATTGATGCTAACTGTGAGGTTTAAAATTTATATATTATGCAATTGTATAATTACATTTATCAAAAGGAATCTGGAAATAATCTTTCTCCCAAGACTTCTCATAAGACTTCAATCATTTCAATGAAAATAACAGCAATAATAAAGGATATTTTCACAGCATTATTTAAAAAATATAAATCTAAAAAATTAAAAAAAATATAAAACTTCAATTAGTAATCAAAAGTTTAGCACATGTGCTTATCAATTGCGGATAGAAACACTTTTTAAATAACTATTGGGTTGTTTATTGCATATGTTGGGCAACGTTGAAAATGTCAGTTATTTCAGTTTAGTTTGCAGTCCCCTGTGAAAATTTCTAAGTTATTGCAGCCTCCTTTGCAGTCCCCTGCAAAATATTTAAGTTATTGCAGCCCCCTTTGCAGTCCCCTGCAAAATGTTGAATTTATTGCAGCCCCCTTTGCAGTCTCCTGCAAAATATTTAAGTTATTGCAGCCCCCTTTGCAGTCCCCTGCAAAATGTTGAATTTATTGCAGCCCCCTTTGCATGCAGTCTCCTGCAATATGTTGAAGTTATTGCAGACCCCTTTGCAGTCTCCTGCAAAAATGTTTAAGTTATTGCAGCCCCCTTTGCAGTCTTCTGCAAAAATGTTTAAGTTATTGCAGCCCTCTTTGCAGTCTGCCTGCTCAAGGAGACTGCACACTGGAACCCCAGACTGCAAAAGGGCAGTCTCCCTGGCAGTCTCTTTGGCAGCCTGGGCTCCCGTGGGCAGCCGGGGCTCCCATTCTAGCTGGGTTGAAAAAAAATAATAAATAAATTCCACCATCCTATAGTACTCATGCACAGCTGAAAAATGAATATTTTAAATTGCGTAAATCCAACAAATTTTTCAAAATTACATTTCCCCTGGGTATGATGAAATTTTCAAAAGTCAGACCTTCAGGCTTTTATCTTTATTGGCTTTTATCCTTGCCCCTCATATATTGTGGGATATTTATCACTACTGAGTACTTCCAAAGTCACTTTCTGGTGGTAAATAATAACTTGCCCGAAAAGAAAGTTGAGGATTTTCTTTCAGTATGAAACATGCCTCCAGACAGAGGAGAGGGGTCAAGATAAGCCTAATTGCATACTTATATTATAAACTGGACACGGCATATGTAACATTACACACTTAAATAGCATCTTTTGTTGCATGCAAGGCTTTTCCTAGAACTGAGTGTCAGGCCTTCTGAAATTACCATCTGTAACTTCCCAAAAAATTACAGGGAGTCCAACTTTTCCAAGTGCTGGGGGGTGGGGGGTTAAAGATAAAATGAAAAATATATTTTAAAAAATTGAAAGGGGGAGGGGTTTAAAATAATGATCTTCTCTGAATAAAGTTCCCAAATTCCTAGAACAAATATGAAAATTGCCTTCTTGTGAACGATCTGCTGACGATATTGCGCGAACTATCTCCCACTGAATACATGAAAATTGCCTTCTCATCTCATTCGGATTCCAAACTATATCCCGCTGACGAGATTGCAAGAACGATCTCCAAGTTTACAAGCTAGGTAATCGTTATTGCGCAATGAACATGAATAGAAGTGACTGGTACATTTTCTTTCGAGATAATATCTTGGTTTTTCATTTTGTCTTCCTCATTTAGGGCAGCCAACAATAACATTAAAGGTGTTACAACTGACAAAAAGCTGCAGCCTGTTACTTCTGTTTACCAACTTGAAAACTCACCTTGTGCAAACCGTGTGTATATGAGCCAGGTAATAGTAATGACACTAAAGACAAAAGGCCGACCCACATGTAAACCATCTATATTATGAGTAGCCACTCGCAGGGACGCACTATTGTTCCTATCTACCATTGAGACTGCTATCGGCAATTATATCCTGGTCGTAGTATTGTCTTGAATCAAAATAAAATCTAAATATTGGTTTTGATTTGATTATTGAACTAGTGAAAAAGCAGTATTTTATAAAAAAAATTTAACAATTGCTAAATGTTTATTTGCAAATGAGTTTTCAAGACTTACATGACTTAATTACTGAGAGATATTTCTAGTGTTGGTATAAATTTTAATAATCCAAAAGAGAAAGTGGTGTACATATTGACAAACACTGTAATAGGTCAAATAGATAAAGAGAAGCTTCTAAAATTTAAAGTGTTGCAGTAGAAGACATCTTGAACAGTTAGAAAAAAATATTTTTGCATTTTTTTTCTTTTACATTTATGTGATGTCAAGGCTTTAAACACATTAGGAAGGTCTGGTTATACATTTAATATGGTGGATTGAAGCACTGGAGATTAAACTAAAACCAAAAGTACCAGATGCATTTAATTATNGGGGGGGGGGGGGTTTCCATACGAATGCGCTTACTCCAGCTGGTGGTACAATATCCGGAGGCGGTATCGCCTCTCTGATCCTCTAGTTATGATTGAGAAAATCATATTAAATGAACAGTCTTCTATGCTTTAATTTCACTCTAACCATGTAGAGTAGAACTTTAGGAATTATCAATTTTGTTGCTTCCAATCAATAAGAATGCTTTATATTTAAGAATTTTACTTTAAAAAGTACAGTATTTGTAAAATAAGAACTAAATTAAGAACTACTAGCTCTGCCATTTATGTTATGTTGGAAGGGGCTTTGATGTTATTCAAACACCTGCAGAACCTGCACACCTGAAAGGGGAGGGGGAGAGGCATTCTATGTACTGTATTAACCTTTGCATATACTTGTACCTACTATCTGTATGTACATGTACATATCAGTACAGTAAATAATGTACATGATTTTCTAGTTGGCTGGCTGTTCAATTTTGGTACGCTGTTTGGGAATCGTCGGTACTTGATCAAGATAACACATGGGCAGATCCAGATATATTTATTGACAGTCCTTCCAATTGTCTTTTTTATCCATCCTCCATTTTTGACTGTCTTCTGACAGAAAAAATTAGATGCCTGTAACATACAAAGAGTTTTATGTCATGCATTTTTTTTTAGCAACCATTGTAATACGTTTGAACGAAAGAAGTGTGATTAAAATGTTTTGTTTTTTTAAATTATTACAGGGCATCCTTCAGAAATCCTACATATTCTCAGTGATACATGTAGTTGCTGTCATGTGCCAAGAATAATCAGAATAATAATTTTCTGCTGCTTCAAACAAAGATGGCTGAACGTAAGTGCATCCATATACGCTGGTAAATAAAAATTTGTCCATGTAAAGTCACATCTTTTAAATTAAAAAATTCATTTTTTTATATTTGAGAGATGAAGAGCATATACTGTAAGCGGACAGGAGTTTCTAGCCTCTCCTTGTCTCTTGCCATATTCATTTAATTGTATGAAGAAGCAACTTGGACCAATTTGTGTGAAGATATTTTTTCACATTTGCAGATTAAGATATTTATCAATTATATTTTAGATGGTTTTGGTATACGGACACCATCTTTAATTGAACAACTAAGAGCTGTATTAGACCAGTATCCAGATGATGGACAGATTTTAAAGGTAAACTTTGATTTTTTGTTATTAAGGTTATATGCACTGAAACATATCATTTTATCACCCATGTAATATTAATTTTTTCTTTCAATTTCTCATTTATGTATCAGTCATACTGATAACTGGGCCATAACACAATAATAATAATAATAATAATAATAATAAAGTGGGCGATGATAGTAATTGGTTTGGAGGATGATTGCTGCAGATAAAATTGCAATCCAGTGCCACATATTTTTGATAATATCTTTAAAACAATGTTGGGCAGTCTTATTTTCAATCTGTGGGAAATTAATATAATTTAAAGTTATTAGTGATAAAATCTGAAAAGAGTGATTTGAAAAAAAATCAATTACACCATCCTATAGTACTCATGCACAGCTCCAATTTGCAGATAGAATTTGTTCTGATACAAACCCATATAGTAGAGAACATCAAAAATAGCACTTTCACACCAAAAACTGCATATATAACATTGTCAGAAAGATGACTGTGGATGTCTATTAATGGTAAAAGTAGTTTTATCTTGATTTTGCCAAACAGGATATATATATATATATATATATATATATATATATATATCCTGGCTTTCATGTAAGAGGATTGCTTATATGGAGGTCCAGTGCTAAACCCTGCCACTTAATTTAGAACTTAATTCAGAACATGCAGAGATTTTGCTGTTTGTCCACCATATTTTAACTTTGATGAAGAGCATCTACGTCAGTTACAACTTCACCCTAACAATCCCAGCAGGCAAATTATGTTGTTTTAACGTTGAAACAACATTGAACCATAACGTTGATAATACTTTGGATTAACATTGGATTTGAAAGTTGACTCAACCTCAGATAACAACGTTGTATCAACGTCAGATAACAACATTGTATCAACCCCAGTTGTTAGACAGCATTCTTGCATGAAAAGACATTAAAATGACCTGAAATGTTTTTTTTTTTTTTTTTGGTACAAAACACAGGTACACAATTATAATGTACACTGTAAAAACATCCAAGTGCCTGCTTTGTCTGATTTTTTCAACGCATTTAGCTCCTATAAGCATGTTTTGCACCTAAGCATGGTACACCCTTTTAGCCTGGATGTGTTTAGCAGCAGGACATGTTTGATGGCTATATATAAGTAGGGTATATATGTATTGCCTTTAAGTTTAAATTTCCAAGGTTTATATTTATATATATATATATATATATATATATATATATTTATATATATATATATATATATATATATATATATATATATATATATATATTTATTTATATAAGAACATAACTATATATATATAACAAAGACACAGTCACCTCAACCTGCCTATCTATAAGAGGGTACCAAGAACTGTCAACTTTATTTAACTTCACTCCATCACATTTACAGCAAAGTATTCATCCTAGTGTTAGCTGACCTTGCAAGGAATTCAGTAAATTGGAATGTATTTCTGAATAACAAGTTAAGAAAATTCACTAGTTCACTAAAGACACAAAACAACTGTCACTTTTACTTTAAACACTTTTTTAATTATTTTGATAAAGTTAGTTACAGTATTGATAAACAAAGTATCACGTTTTCAACAATTAATATTTTTAATTACTATCCATGTCTGCAAGGTTGTGTCAATGACCAAAACACAACATTGAGTCAACGTCACATTATGACGGTGTTTCCACGTGGCTGGATCAACGTTGATTTTACGTTGAATTTAGGTAGATCAACAGCAATTCAACGTATCAACCTGCTTTCAACGTTGATCCAACATGACTATGCCTGCTGGGATGTGTATATAGTGAAATTGTGGAAGCTACCTATAGAATGATTTACGTGGTTGGGCCTCTCAAAACAGAAAACAATAACAGTTTGAACCAGCTTTTAGTGTAATGCATCTACATTTGCTTAAATATAAAATGTTTAGAAAAGACATAACAATATATAGAAAACTATGTCGCTCCTAGTCAGAGAAGAATTTCAGCAGCTGTGTTATGTTATGAGAATTCTTATATCTCTCCTAGGAATTAATCCAAAATGCTGAAGATGCAAGGGCAAAGCATGTGAAATTTGTGAATGACAGACGTCAGTTTTCTGCAGAGTCTTTGTATAAACCAGATTTGAAGAATTTTCAGGTTAGTTAAGTTTTTATTAAAAATCAGATCTTTTGATTTCTTTAAAAAACTGGGTTATTCCATTTTTATGTACAGACACAGATGTGTCTGTACATATAGCCGTCGCCTGCGTCTGTCGTCGCTGTTGCTGCCATCGCTGTGCACTCAGCGATAACACGATAAGTGGAATACCATCTTACATTTTGTATTCAAATTTACAGAACTGATGAATATTCGTAATACGCAGGTCAAGTTTGAATATCAGCATGATCAGGCCATTTTTAGGGAAGTTATGCTGTTTTTTCACTTTTTTTAGCATTATTATAGCACCGATAACACGATAAGTGAAAAACCTTTTTACTTTTTGGCTTGTTTATCCTTGTATGCTTTGTTTAGGGGCACAGTGACAGTAATAAATAATGATATTTTATGAAGGTATATGTCCATCCTAAATAGCACATAGCTGTTGGGCTGACATTGGGTCACAATGAATAAATAGACAGTTTCGATGGTTTTATGTACTCTAAGACTGGGTTCCCATGCCTGCATCGATCCAACAGGATTTTGACCCAGGAAGATCCCTGATATGCTGTTTCAACTTAACAAAAACCACCCACTCCATTCAGAATGTTGGGCAAATTGCCACCAGAGAGCAATTTTCAAGGCCCTTAGTAAACACCAGACTGGTTTTAGCAGGTAAAAATACCTCATAACCTCTGAAGAAGCCACTGTAAACAGCAAATCATCATCATCTGTTTTTCTAATGAATTGGGGACCATGACCATTACTGGGTAGAAAATTGAAACTGCATGGCTTTCTTTATCGAGGTCAAATTTCACCTGCTCTGCTCAACTAGTCGAAACAGTTTACTGACGTCCTGAAGAGGCATATACAACGAACGTGTGATGCATCTCAAAGTGATTAAGGTCATTGATAGGGTCAGTATTTGGAGTGGATACCACATTGGTGTCAAAACACCAATGGTAGTCATCAGTGGAAACCTGAACCACACCAAATAAAGGAATAATCTGGGAACCACTTGACCAACATTTGATAATTCACGGCACAATTTTTAGGAACAATTTTAGGTGTCACAATGAAAATGCTGGTTCACACAGAGCACTTATAATAGCACATAACTTACAGAACCAAGGGAACGAGCAGCTACCTGGGCAATTAAGATCACCAGATTTGATTCACATAGACAGTTTGTAGGTAGGTCATTACTCACCGAATCAATGGCCTACTTGTCCTACAACACAACTGAACCAAATTGGAAAAGTTTTGACCAATGCCTGGAATGTTATTCCAGATTAAACTCTAAAAAACCTCCCAAGGAATGCTTTGCCGCTTGAGAGCCCTATTAGCAACCAGATAATTAGGTCAGGCTTACAGCGATAGTTGCTGTGACTAGACACTGACATGAGGCTCCTTTGTGGGACGTGTAACTTTTTACAGATCATTATTTGGAAAACACAGAGATCCAAATTATCGCTTTTCATAGTTGTCGTATGACTTAGAATAGGCAATGTATTTTTGCACCACCAGCGTGGTTTTAGTCCCAACCCACATGTTCCGCCGGCTCCTGTGGCTCTGCTGCCAAGTCACTGTTACCACTTCTCCTCCTAGACTACAAGATCCTGCATACCCATCTCTTGGATTTAGGTCAGATATAGTCTCAACTCGATCGTATATTAATTGTGGGCTATGTCAGTTTGGGGTCTAGATGTGGGGCTAGTTGCAATGCACCCTTGTCCAAAATTTGCAAAATTAAATGCTAAATTTTCTAAAAATGAGAATTTTTTACAAAAAAAAAATATATAGGAGAATCTATTAAGAGTTGTACTGTCGGGCTGTTGTTTCTTTACTGCAGTATTCGGTGTGAGATAGCGATCGGTAGTTTNTAACATTGAGTCAACGTCACATTATGACGGTGTTTCCACGTGGCTGGATCAACGTTGATTTGACGTTGAATTTAGGTAGATCAACAGCAATTCAACGTATCAACCTGCTTTCAACATTGATCCAACGCGACTATGCCTGCTGGGATGTGTATCTAGTGAAATTGTGGAAGCTACCTGTAGAATGATTTACGTGGTTGGGCCTCTCAAAACAGAAAACAATAACAGTAAGATGCATATGCTCAGTTTGAACCGGCTTTTAGTGTAATGCATCTACATTTGCTTAAATATAAAATGTTTAGAAAAGACATAACAATATATAGAAAACTATGTCGCTCCTAGTCAGAGAAGAATTTCAGCAGCTGTGTTATGTTATGAGAATTCTTATATCTCTCCTAGGAATTAATCCAAAATGCTGAAGATGCAAGGGCAAAGCATGTGAAATTTGTGAATGACAGACGCCAGTTTTCTGCAGAGTCTTTGTATAAACCAGATTTGAAGAATTTTCAGGTTAGTTAAGTTTTTATTAAAAATCAGATCTTTTGATTTCTTTAAAAAACTGGGTTATTCCATTTTTATGTACAGACACAGATGTGTCTGTACATATAGCCGTCGCCTGCGTCTGTCGTCGCCATCGCCGTTGCCGCCGTCGCTGTGCACTCAGCGATAACACGATAAGTGGAATACCGTCTTACATTTTGTATTCAAATTTACAGAACTGATGAATATTCATAATACGCAGGTCAAGTTTGAAAATCAGCATGATCGGACCATTTTTAGGGAAGTAATGCTGTTTTTTCACTTTTTTTAGCATTATTATAGCACCGATAGCACGATAAGTGAAAAACCTTTTTACTTTTTGGCTTGTTTATCCTTGTATGCTTTGTTTAGGGGCACAGTGACAGTAATAAATAATAATATTTTATGAAGGTATATGTCCATCCTAAATAGCACATAGCTGTTGGGCTGACATTGGGTCACAATGAATAAATACGGTAAAGTCTTGAAAATTTCGTCGTTCTTGAAAATTTTGTCGGCAGACGATTTTCTGCCGACGTAATTTTTTTCCCTTTGAAAACTTCGTCGATCTTGAAAATGAGGTACTCGATAATTTTTGAAAAGTTCGTCGCCAAATATGGCCGCGTTGTCCAGCTCAAACATGAAGGTAATGCGTCAGTTGATTCAAGACAATGATACGATCAGGATATCATTGCCGATAACACTCTCAATGGGAGATAGGAACAATAGTGCGCCCCTGCGAGCGGTTACTCAAAATATAGATGGTTAGATGTGAATTCCCGTTCTCAATTGCGGGAACGTCGGCCTTTTGTCTTTAGTTCATTACTATTACCTAGCCTAAGGTGCGTTATCATGCCGGCATATAGAAGTCACAGGCCGCGGCTTTGTCATTTGTAACGCCGTTATTGTTATCGGCGGCTGTCCTAAATGAGGAAGACACAATGAAAAAATCAAGATATTATCTCGAAGTGAAATGTACCTGTCACTTCTATCCATGTCTATGTTCAATTTAGGACCATTTAACGATTACCTGACTCGTACATGGAGATCGTTCGCAATGCGAATGGGACGAGATGGCAATTTTCTTATCTTCAGCGGAGAATCGTTCGCGTAATATCGTCAACAGAACGTTCGCGATCAAAACCAGACGAGAAGATACATGTAATTTTCATATTTGTAGCAGACTCCGTTCGCATAAGATCATCAGCGGGAGATCGTTTGCGATTTAAGCAAGAATAAAGTGCACTTTTCATATTAGTTCAAGGGAACTTCGTTCGTGGAGGATCGTCAGCAGGAAATCCTTATTCTAACCCCCCTCCTCCCCCTTTTAATTTTATAAATAATATATATTTTACATTTTATCTTTAACCCCCCCCTTCCCCGCTCACGGCATATCTTCAGCGGAGAATCGTTCGCGTAATATCGTCAAGACTGTTCGCGTAAGATCGTCAGAGGGAGATCGTTCGCGATCGAGACGAAAAACGATTTTCATATCATCATCGGGAGATTGTTTGCGACATAAACAAGAATGAAATGCAATTTTCATATTAGTTCAAGGGATTTAGGGAACTTCGTTCGCGGAAGATCGTCAGCGGGAGATTATTTACCTCCCCGCCATCCTCCCACACACACACACACACACACACTTTGGATTTTTAAAAAATATTCATTTTCATTTGATCTTTAATCCGCCCCTTCCCCCGCTCACGGTATATCTTTGGCGGAGAATCGTTCGCGTACGTTCCTCAGGACTTTGTTCGCGTAAGATCAAATCAGAGGGAGATCGTTCGCGATCCTAGCTTGACGTAAAGGCAATTTTCATATCTTCATCGGGAGATTATTCGCGATGTAAGCAATAATAAAATGCAGTTTTCATATTAGTTCAAGGAACTTAGTTTGCGAACGATCGTCAGAGGGAGATCATTATTTTAACCCCGCCTCCCCCTTTGAATATTATAAATAATATATATATTTAGTTTTATCTTTAA